CTTTGTTAAAATTGTTGCAAATGTTTTTCACGTTCTCATTCAATTCCCTGTACTTCTTGCGACTGGGGTTGCTGTTTCCCCCCATTGCTTTCAATATATTGAATTTTTGATTGGCAGCATCTAATTTGATTTGTTCCAGAAAGATGTGAACAGATGGGTGGTTTCCTTTAAAGAGAGTAGCAACGCCAAGATGCCAGCCTTTTACAGCATTTGTTGTCCTTATTAACCCAGCAGCTGCTTCTTCGGAATGATTCCAAAGGTTTACTGGAAAGAGAGGGTCGCGAGAATTCCTTCCGATGGTTTCGCCTTTGATGTAGGTGCGCTGGAAGTATGAGGCTACCTCATCAATTTTCTCAGTTATGCTGTCATCGAGATCAAATTTGTCAGACACTTTCGATTTCCTCAATAACCAAGTCAAAAGCAGCCTTGACCATTTCAACTGGTACAAAACTTAGAGCTGGAATTAAGCGCAACGACCAATTGAGATCGTGATTAGTTTCGTACAGTCGTTTTAGGCCCACTTCGTTTATTTTTCTGTTGAAAGCTTGACATAAATGAAAATAGCAGCCTTTCAGCAACGCTCCGGTATGATGGCTGGCGAAAGCGTTTAGTGCTGCAGGTTCAAAATCGAGGAGAATGCGGTGAGGCTCGGTGTTTTCGGTGATGGCTGATAATCCCTTCTGTCGTTTTTTGTAAATGTGCTCTGTTTTGCTTGGCAACAATGCAGAAATGCAGGGGAGATAAAATCCAGCGAGTTGAATGTGGATGGTGTAAAGTTGATAAAATTGAATAGGGCAAACTTTGAACGTTACACCGCACAGCCACACATCTCGATGCAATATCAAGCTCTGGATATTGTCGCGATCTCCAAAAATCAACACCATTTCTGGATCTTTAATGCCGCTATTGAAGACTCAAAAATCCTCGTGTTGCTTTGGTACTTCAAAATGTCTGTCGACAATGGGAGGCAATGTGGGTCTCTCATTTACCTTCTGTCGGTTGAGGGCCCGATTAATCGCCGACCGGCAGGGAAGAGCTAATCGGATGGCTTTTTCGGACACAGACTTCAGGCCGTTTGCTATTTTTATGCTGTTGACTGTTACTTGCTGAATTTTTGTGTCCTGTTTCATTTTCTGCGCGAGAAGCCTTGCATCTGAACAGCCAGGTGCTTCTTAATTGAGTATGTTAGTGACATCGGAATGTATGTTGCACTTATCAAACATTTCTCAAGCTGATCATTGAGGGGCGCGTTGTCGTGGCGTTAAAACTTATTTATTAAATCTTCCTCCATATGGTATTCTAGAGCTAAGCTTTGCATGCATTAGTTCTGAGCAGTCAAACCTTTTATGTAAGAAAACAAGATTCCAACGAAGGCAGTAAATAATCGCTTTTAACCGACATGTTTCGATAATCATGTACTCAGAGCGACCCGACACCTTTAACTCCTCCTTCTGATTCCGACATGATCCAAGTTGTTGAAAATTGACCAACTTTTACAGGCGTTGCACCTCTTAATGTGCTTGTTACGACAGCTGGCGTATCAGAATGGGGATATCAAATATTTTTAGTAGTTGGATGTCACATGTTTAATTTTGAACCATTGTCGTTTTTGAACCATTGTCGTGATTTTGAACCAAAGTCCTGTTTGCTAAGTTTCACAGCTGGTTTATTTCAATAGGAATAAACTCATCATTGACATCTAAAAAATTCGATCGATTACTCTTCATCTTTACTCTCCAATTTGATTTAAAGGATTTGAAAGTTTCATCTAGATAATTCAAAAAAATGATTGAAACCAATTTGATTACATGTTTCTACAATCTGTGTTGCGCCACAAAAACACTTTGTGGAGGGAAAAGGATACATGTTCATGGCTAGTTTGTAATGTTCAGCTTTGTATGTACTTAACAACCCTTTGAAATTAATTTCATCGTGTGTTAAATCGTTCATTACTTTGTAGGAATATTTTTTATTTAACTTATCCAGCGGAAACCATGATGGACAAGTTTGATTTGGTAATAAGCTGATTAAAGCGTGTTGAGGTAATCTTTTGTAGTCAAAAAAATACATGAATAGTACGGATGGCCACGCATTACACCATTCATCACCTTTTAATGATTAAAGCATAAATCGCAAACAGTAAATGTTTTCATTTTTAATAAGTTACCATAACGTCTTGTAATACAATCTGTAAGGCGAATAATGTTGGTGTTAAATTGATACCACTCATTAGAATGTCTTTTACATTTTGCACATTTATCAGCGTTTTTAATTAAAAAAATAGCTAGTATCGGGTTCTGAGGATACATTGAAAACGTCCAGATTTACGTGTCGTGATTTATTTGCAATTAAAACATTGAATGCTTTTTTGAGCTTCAAACGCATTGAATCTTCATTTTTTTTTCATTTTGATTTCCAGAATTATTTTTAATAATGGAATTTCTGTTTTCGTTAGTTGATTCACCGTAACTTTTTTTAAACAACTTTGACATTATAATTGTTCGTTTCTGATAGTTCTTTGCCATAATTGTCCTTGTGTTCTAAACTTATTATTGGCTCCTTGTGAGTTGTTTGATGATGGATTAGGAAATTAGGGGAAGGATTTGTAATAAAGAAGTTGTACATAAACCATGTTCGAGTAATATCAGAATAAAAAAATATATTGGTTTGAAATATAAAAGAAAATTCGGCTATTTCAATGTCACCACCCTACTCTCCGCTTTTCCACATTTTTGATGAGGTAATGTAACTTGGCTTAGTTTCATTTTGTCGGTCTGTATGTGCATTTAGTTGATCCGTGGTAAATGGAACTTTATTAAATTGGTCACATATTATATTTCTAATGTAATTTGAACTTTGCTGGGAACTTGTAAGTAGATAACTGAAAGTACTAAATAAACAATTACCATCTTTGGTAATTTGTGCTGTCTTACCTGGACTTATTTGAATAATATTTGTTGGGAGTTTCAAAAGCGTTGGTGCCAAATCCATACAAACCAAAATTGACACAAGTATCTTTTTTTTATTCGTTTTCGAATTTAGAACTTACTTCTAAGGATGTTTCCATAAAACAGCGTACCTCAAGATTCAATGAATCCTTGCTATGCTTCACGCAATACTCGGATTTTGCCGCCAGAAAGCGCTGGCTTTCCTTACATTTTCTGGGTGGGACACTCGTTTTTGTTCCAATCATCAAGTTTTGAGTTAGTCTTCAGTTCATGATCTAACCATGTTTTTATTTATTTAGCCATGTAATTGATTTTTTTAAAAATCATATTAATTGATTCAGATAAGTTAATCGCATCTGAAAGTTTTCGTTGTGTAGATATAATTATGGCCAAATTTTTTACAAACAGGTTAACTTGAAAAACATGAAATTCATTAGGATAACTACAAGTAGATTGATAACTTTTGGTTGATTTAAATTTTTTATTTCAACGAAATCATTCACACTGAATTCAATTATAGCAATTTAACAGTTTTTTTGCAATCATATTTCAAATTAAACAAATTCTTGATTGTATACTGATTATTTGTCACCATTTTTTTCTGGTTGTAACTTTGGTTTCCATTCAAAAGAAATCGTGTAACGTCCAAATTTTTCTTAACGTCAATTTCTTCGTCAGATACTAGCTGCTTCCAATGTTTTTTCCATTCACCAGCTTGAGCGAACTCTTTGTAATACACTACAAAAACTACAAAAAATTTAATTTTTTCAAGTTCAAAAAAGGAAAGTGAATCAGAGTAAACCTTCTTGAGATTTTTTTTAATTAATAATTTTAAGAACAAACATTCTATTCTCTTTTGATAAAAATTATTGTTGAATTTATTTCAAAAAAATCTGAAAATATGCTGATTAATATTTATCAATTTTCGTCTTACAAACCTTGAACAGATGTACTTATTTCTTCCGAAAACATGGCGGTATGCCATTTCTGTCAGAAGTAACCGGTCTAATTGGAAGTCGTTATTTTCCTAACACAACTGGATAGCGATATGTAACGTCGACGCAATGCCTTGCCTAAGCATTTGTTCAGTTCATATATGTTTTTACGGACATTCCTATTCAAGATACTAGTCACCAGAACAGGAACATGCAACTGAATCAATATCCGCTGTGGTGTCATTATAACCTTGAAGGCATTTGCTGCTTTCTGGAATAGTTTTTTTGGTTATTTTCTATGCAAACTCACGTCATTTCCTCACAATTGATTCAAAATGTTTCAAGGCACTGGAACGCTTTAAACCTGAAATACCATAGAAGTAGTAGTGGTCATATTTATGAACCCATATGTTATCAGGCGAATACAAAACTTCCCTCATTCGTTTCACACGTGAATCCCCGAAAAACAGTATCCTTAAATATCAATCTTCTAATTATGATTTTTAACATTTTTCAAATAAATGAAGTAATTAAAATTAAAAACTTTTCCAATGAGTCCTTTCGATCCATTTGACTCCTTGTCTTTCTAAATTATATTAACTACAAGTATTACTTAATCTTTAATACAAAATATTGTTAAACGCAATTAAAGTTACCGTAACAAAATAAAAACATTTTGCCTAACAAAAATGATAACGTTTTTTTTTTAAATTAGTTAGGATTAATTTTGAAACCATTTTTTTTCAATACGAAATGAAAAACCGATGATAGATCATAACAAAAAAGAAATGTTGAATCAAATTTTTCTATACAAAATGAAAAATCAATGATAGATCGTAACAAACAAGTAATGTGCGAGTTATTTACGTTTTGAAAAGACTCATTTTCTGCAAGTTTCAACGGGAAAGGTAGGTTTTAAATTAGATTATAATTGAATTGTACATTTCAACATTACAGCGTTCTATCAAAAAACTAAAATTAACTTTATTAGGTATCAATTTTAAATACTTTGAAAGATGGTTTTTCTTCTTCTTGAAATTGACAGTGCTTTATGAGAATCGTCATCATCCGATTATTACCATGAGATCATCATCCACATCTACATCTACACGCCTACGTTATCATCTACATCATCATCTAAATCAATATCATCATCTATATGATGTTCGTAAACCTCATCAACTTTCACGTCATCATTGTCATCTAAGTTATCATCAGTTACCTTATCATGTTTTTTACTATCATCATCTTCATTAAAATCATCACTATTTTCATTCATCAACATGAGCAGCATCTGCATCATCATTTTCTAAATCATCCTCACCATAATGATGTTCATATACATAATCAAGTTCCACATCATCATCTGCCCTATTATCATTTACATGATCTTACATTACCACCATCCTCACCATCACCACCATCATCCTCATTCTCATCCTCGTCCTCATTTTCAACCTCATCCTCATCCGCATCCTCATCAACAGCATCAACATCATCAACAGCATCAACATCACCATCATCATCATCATCGGGTTTAATACTGTTTGCATCGCTGTTTTAATAGAACTATGACAGCTTTTTTATTGAGTTTTGAGGGTTTTTATTATGAGTGTAATAATTCCAATTTGATTTGATGAATCTTATTTCTTCTAAACAATACTTAGCTAGATGCAAAACATATCGGTTTACAAATAAAATACATTGTGGGGGGAAATTTTTTTAAAACCTACTGAAAAATTCAAAATTTTTTAATTTTTATTTCTACAGCAGCAATATTCTATATATCTTAAAAAACACTCCAAAAACTAGAAGCATCGCCCTGATACGAGCAGTGTTTTTTCCTTAAACATAGTTCATTAACGAGAGAGCTTGAAAAAATTACCATTCCAAATAAATTGACCACTATCTGAAAGAATTTAATTGAAGGAAAAAAGTCAATTAAACATTTGACATACCCTTGATGATCGGAAGGGTAAACCTACATGTGATTTAGCTGTTGAAATTATTTATTGATTTGGTAATAAGCTGATTAAATCGTGTTGAGGTAATCTTTTGTAGTAAAAAAAATAAGTGAATAGTACGGATGGTCACGCATTACACCATTCATCACCTTTTAATCGCAAATAATTAAAGCATAAATCGCAAACAGTAAATGTTTTCATTTTCAATAAATTACCATAACGTCTTGTAATACAATCTGTAAGGCGAATAATGTTGATGTTCAACTGATACCACTCATTAGAATGTCTTTTACATTTTGCAAATTTATCAGCGTTTTTAATTAAAAAAATAGCTAGTATCGGGTTCTGAGGATACATTGAAAACGTCCAGATTTACGTGTCGTGATTTATTTGCAATTAAAACATTGAATGCTTTTTGCGCTTCAAACGCATTGAATCTTCATTTTTTTTATTTGGATTTCCAGAATTATTTTTAATACTTGAGTTTCTGTTTTCGTTGGTTGATTCACCGTAACTTTTTTAAACAACTTTGACATTATAATTGTTCGTTTCTGATAGTTGTTTGCCATAATTGTCCTTGTGTTCTAAACTTATTATTGGCTCCCAGTGAGTTGTTTGATGATGGATTAGGAAACTAGGGGAAGGATTTGTAATAAAGGAGTTGTACATAAACCATGTTCGAGTAATATCAGAATAAACAATTTGGTTTGAAATATAAAAGAAAATGCGGCTATTTCAATGTCACCACCCAACTCTCCGCTTTTCCACATTTTTGATGAGGTAATGTAACTTGACTTTGTTTCATTTTGTCGGTCTGTATGTGCATTTAGTTGATCGTGGTAAACGGAACTTTATTCAATTGGTCACATATTATATTTCTAAGGTAATTTGAACTTTGCTGGGAACTTGTAGGTAATTAACTGAAAGTACTAAATAAACAATTACCATCTTTGGTAATTTGTGCTGTTTTACCTGGAATCATTTGAATATTATTTGTTAGGAGTGTTTCAAAAGCGTTGGTGCCAAATCCATACAAACCAAACTTGACCAAGTAGCTTTTTTTTCATTCGTTTTCGAATTTAGAACTTACTTCTAAAGATGTTTCCGTAAAACTGCGTTCCTCCTGATTCAATGAATCCTTGCTATGCTTCACGCAATACTCGGATTTTGCCGCCACAAAGCGCTGGCACTCCTGGCATTTTCTGGGTGGGACACACCTTCCCTCTTTTTTTTCCAATCATCAAGTTTTGAGTTAGTCTTCAGTTCATGATCTAACCATGTTTTTATTTATTTAGCCATGTAATTTTTTTAAAATAATATTAATTGATTAAGATAAGTTAATCGCATCTCAAAGTTTTCGTTGTGTAGATATAATTATGGCCAAATTTATTACAAACAGGTTAACTTGAAAAACATGAAATTCATTAGGATAACTACAAGTAGATTGATAACTTTTGGTTGATTTAAATTTTTTATTTCAACGAAATCATTCACACTGAATTCAATGTTAGCAATTTAACAGTTTTTTTTGCAATCATATTTCAAATTAAACAAATTCTTGATTGTATACTGATTATTTGTCACCATTTTTTTCTGGTTGTAACTTTGGTTTCCATTCAAAAGAAATCGTGTAACGTCCAAATTTTTCTTAACGTCAATTTCTTCGTCAGATACTAGCTGCTTCCAATGTTTTTTCCATTCACCAGTTTGAGCGAACTACAAAAAATTTAATTTGTTCAAGTTCAAAAAAGGAAAGTGAATCAGAGTAAACCTTCTTGAGAATTTTTTTTAGTTAATAATTTTAAGAACAAACATTCTATTCTCTTTTGATAATAATTATTGTTGAATTTATTTCAAAAAAATCTGAAAATATGCTGATTAATATTTATCAATTTTCGTCTTACAAACCTTGAACAGATGTACTTATTTCTTCCGAAAACATGGCGGTATGCCATTTCTGTCAGATTTAACCCGTCTAATTGGAAGTCGTTTTTTTCCTAACACAACTGGATAGCGATATGTAACGTCGACGCAATGCCTTGCCTAAGCATTTGTTCAGTTCATATATGTTTTTACGGACATTCCTATTCAAGATACTAGTCACCAGAACAGGAACATGCAACTGAATCAATATCCGCTGTGGTGTCATTATAACCTTGAAGGCATTTGCTGCTTTCTGGAATAGTTTTTTTGGTTATTTTCTATGCAAACTCACGTCATTTCCTCACAATTGATTCAAAATGTTTCAAGGCACTGGAACGCTTTAAACCTGAAATACCATAGAAGTAGTAGTGGTCATATTTATGAACCCATATGTTATCAGGCGAATACAAAACTTCCCTCATTCGTTTCACACGTGAATCCCCGAAAAACAGTATCCTTAAATATCAATCTTCTAATTATGATTTTTAACATTTTTCAAATAAATGAAGTAATTAAAATTAAAAACTTTTCCAATGAGTCCTTTCGATCCATTTGACTCCTTGTCTTTCTAAATTATATTAACTACAAGTATTACTTAATCTTAAATACAAAATATTGTTAAACGCAAGTAAAGTTACGGTAACAAAACAAAAACATTTTGCTTCACCAAAATGATAATTTATGTATGTGTATACCAATTTTGTAATTATGAGAGGGAGTGCGTTGTCCCGCAAATTTTCCAAAAATGGCTTTTTAAAAAAGTTGACCAAAAAAATTCTTTTAAACGTTAAATGTTTAGGAGATGGGTGTTTAGGAGATGAGATGTTAAGAGATGGGTGTTCAGTAAATCGTTTTGCAAATTGAGGGGCCTAGAAATTGATTAAGTCGTAAACTTGTTTTGCAAAAGTTCTGCATTACTTTCTTGATAAATAAAAAAAGTGGAAAACAATCCATTTTAAAGTTTGTTAAAGCAATGATTAACAAAACGTAATTTCATGTTGAATGACTTTTTTTTGCTTTTAATTTTGATCTTTTGTTTAAAAAGTCTTCTTCAGTTTTATTTTTGTTTTCATTGATGTTTTTTCGTGTGCGTTGTCAAACACGTCAAACATCGATATTTAAGCACTCTGGGATGTGGCAAATTATCAACAATCAATCATTTTAGTAATCCACACTTAATTTGAAAAAATTTTGCGAAAAAACCTACTATTTTGGACAGTTACTTACAAGTTTTAGCAGAAATTCACTCCTCACTTTCCTCGGTTCCCCCTCTTTTAAAACTCTATTCACTCCTCACTTTCCTCGTTACATTTTAAAACAATTTCTATGACTTAACACCGTTTTAATCCAAAATGAAAAGAAAACTTAGTTCAAAGGGGATTTCAGTAAACATCAAAGAATTAAACGAGAGAAATTTTTGCCATTTAAAGCAAAACAAATTCGTTTTGCCTAATTTGCGTAAGTTTTGAACAGAAATGACCTTGCAAATGATTTCATTGAAACGTTTTAAACCATAATGAAATGGCCTTGCCAATACTTTCAATGAATCATTCGAAAATGAACCAAAAACAAGCAATAACTCAATAAACTTCAAAAGCCCGCAAATAGTTAGACGTCTTTTGACTAATATGGCCTAATTTTCTGGACATTTTCAGCCAGTAAAGAAAATTAAAAAAGGTTTAACCAATGCTAAAAGCCTAAAATCAATATTTTTTAGAATCATTCTCGAACTTAAACTTATGACCTGACCGCTTTGTCAGCTTTTTTTGAACTGTTGGCACATAAGCGCAAAGCTAAAGGGTTTGCCAGTCCGTAGTCCCAATCTAGGATCCCGAAAATAAGGGCGATTGTCCTGGGGTTAATTTGCTAAGGCACGAGTCAAATTCTTGTGTTTAGTTACGTTTCCGAGAGTGTGCAAGGAAACGTTTTTCAAAAAAACTGACAAAAATTTCAGTAGTATTAAAATTTTCAATGGCTTAACACCAACTAGATAATGCTCTGAAAAAGTACAGATCAGTTTTGTCTTTGTAAACGGATATTATGTTTTGTACTCTTTCGTTTAAAACTCGATACTTTTTCTTTTTTGTGAATTTATGGCCACTCGATGCATCAAAAAAGTTGAGTTTTTGCACGGAAACGTCTTTTCGCAGGCTGCCCACTACTTTCCACATATTTGGGTGGGCTCCGCTGAAATAAGAGTGAATCCCGAAATGCCATCCCTCGACAGCATTTGTTGTTCGAGCAATCCCACTCACGGCCGCATCTCGCTGGTTCCAAAGTGAGGGTGGGAATAAAACTTCACGATTTGGCACCAAGGTTTTTATATAAGTAGAGCCGAAGTACACACACAACCCGTCAATTTTCTCAATTTTCTCGGATTCTAAACAGTTTTTGTCACCTACGTTCTGAAATTCCTGAACGATCATGTCATAGGAATCGCCGATCTTTTCTTTTTTTTCGAATGCAAGAGATGGTAGCATTTTAAAAGCCAGCGCTAAAGCGTGATTCGTTTCGTAGGTCACTTTCAGACCCGATTCATTAATTTTTCTCATGTAACTCTGGGAGAGATGGAAAAAACAACCCGGTAAATGTTTTTTGGAAGGACTGAAGAGCAGCTTGCTCGAAATCTAACAAATTTTTTTCAGGCCGGCAGTTGCGTGCTAAACCAATAGTTAGACGTCCTTTGACTATTATGTTCTAATTTTCTGGACTTTTTCAGCCAGTAAAGAAATTTAAAAAAGGTTCAACTAATGCCAAAAGCCTAAAATCAATACTCTTTAGAATCATTCTCGAACTTAAACTTTTGACCTGATCGCTTTGTCAGCTGTTTTTGAACAGCTGGCACATAAGCGCAAAGCTAAAGGGTTTGCCAGCCCGTAGTCCCAACCTAGGATCCCAAAAATAAGGGCGATTGTCCTGGGGTTAAATTGCTAAGGCACGAGTCAAGTTCTTGCGTTTAGTTACGTTTCCGGGAGTGTGCAAGGAAACGTTTTTCAAAAAAAGCTGACAAAAATTTCAGCAGGATTAAAATTTGTATTTTTAATAATACGAAAGAATAAACAAAAATGAGACAAAATTTTCAATGGTTTAACCCAAACTAGACAATGCTCTGAAAAAGTACAGATCAGTTTTGTCTTCGTAAACGGACATTATGTTTTGTACTCTTTCATTTAAAACTCGATACTTTTTCTTTTTTGTGAATTTATGGCCACTCGATGCATCAAAAAAGTTGAGTTTTGCACGGAAGCGTCTTTTCGCAGGCTGCCCACTACTTTCCTTATATTTGGGTGGGCTCCGCTGAAATAAGAGTGAATCCCGCCGAAATGCCATCCCTCGACAGCATTTGTTGTTCGAGCAATCCCACTCACGGCCGCATCTCGCTGGTTCCAAAGGTAGGGTGGGAATAAAACTTCACGATTTGGCACCAAGGTTTTTATATAAGTAGAGCCGAAGTACACACACAACCCGTCAATTTTCTCAATTTTCTCGGATTTTAAACACTTTTTGTCACATACATTCTTAATTTCCTGAAGGATCATGTCATAGGAATCGCCGATCTTTTCTTTTTTTTCGAATGCAAGGGATGTTAGCATTTTTGAAGCCAGCGCTGAATCGTGATTCGTTTCGTAGGTCACTTTCAGAACCAATTCATTAATTTTTCTCATGTAACTCTGGGAGAGATGGAAAAAACCACCCGATAAATGTGCTTCGGGGAATGTTTTTTGGAAGGACTGACGAGACTGAACATTTTTGGAGTACTTTTGAAAGTTCCATCGGCTAACTCAGTATTTCGGGTCGCCGCACAAAATGATTCGCTCATGATCATTTGATCCACTGTCATACCGGATAAAGTTTTCAAAAGTTTCAAGGATCTCGAAATTTCGGGCAACGGGGATGGGCGGCATATTTACATCTAGCTGCTTACGAGTGCGCGCAGCCGTTCGGATCAGTTTGTCTTTACTTGGGAGGGCAAACTGAGTGGCCAAATTGTTTGTAACTGGCAAAACCGCACTGGCAACTGCAACAGTCGGGGTGAATCTCTCGATGAGATCTTTTATATACTTTATGACATTTCGGTCCTCCGATTTTCCCCTTGAAATGTCATGGTTATGCTCTCCACGCGTCTCTATTGATTCGTTATTTTCAGTAATGGCATTTGCTCGACATTTATGTGTTTGATATTTTGAGCAAATCCAGTTTTCGGTAAACTTATTTTTTCGCTTGAAATAAAATTAGTGGCCGGACGCTGTAAGAATTGGCTTGTTTTTAAATGAAACTATGATTTCGAAAGAAGAAACATTCATATTGTGTTTATTCTGTTAGCGTTTGTTTATCATTTGAGTAAAGTATAAAGTGATTGTCAGTATTTAATTTTTGTCAGAATTTTACGTCAAATTGTTATGAATTGACACAAGCAGCTTTTTTTAAATTATCATAATGGTTTAGCGAAAAGTCTAATTGAAAATAAATTACAAACTTGTTAGTAAGAGTCTTAAGTAATTTACGAAGCCTCCTTTTAGCCTGTATAACTAAGATAAACCAAGTTTTTCATTATGGTGCGTGCGTTAATTGCAGGATTAACTTTGGTGTGATAAGAGTTCAGCCTTAAGCATAAGAGATAAAGCATTAGTTTTTATTAGTGAAATGACTAGGTGTTAAAATGTACTGTGTTAAACTGGAAAATAGGAGTTATATTGTTGTCGATTTAAATTGTTTAGTATTGAAATGACTAAGTGTTAAAATGTACGGCGTTAAATTGTATGTCATTAAATTATAGGACACCCAATAAGAGTTAAGCATTAAGCATAAGAGATAAGCATTAATGTTAATAGTGAAATGACTAGGTGTTAAAATGTACTGTGCTTAACTGGAAAATAGGAGTTATATTGTTTTCGATTTAAGTTGATTAGTGGTGAAATGACTAACGGTGTTAAATTGTATGTCATTAGATTGTAGCAAGCCTCTTCACTGCATCTTTCAAAGTACACTATCTCCGAAGCACAATTTCCAAAGCACACTCATCAAAATCGCCCAAGTACGTTTCTGACCACACTTGAATCCTGTACAAAGGCCTCCAAAAATCTCGATAACTGTGATTAGGCCTCCGAAAATCGCGAAACCTGTAAAAAGGGTGCATAGACATTTGTGTCCCAGACATTTGTGTCCTTGACAAAACAGTCTGAAATTGTGAAATTGTACCAGACATTTATGTCCCAGACAAAATTGTCCCAAACTGTTTTGCGAAATTTCTTTGATTTGACCTTGTGATCTTTAATGCTTTGTTCTTTTTTGGTCGTTCTTTAATTAGATTCTATGCGTACCAATTAGCCATAGAACAGTCAACGTGAGACAAAACTTTCAAGAACAGGTTGAAATTTAAAAGCGCATTTGGCCGAGCGATGAAGTCATAAGTTTCAGGTCAAAAGGTCTGAAGTTCAAATCTCGGGTCTGACAAAATTTTTTCGTAATTTAGTCAATATTTGAAATTAAAAAATCCAAAATTGGGTAAACTAGGGCAAAGTTGAAATGGGTTGACTTGATTGAGCCAAAAGGGAAGAGGATGGCAAAAGCTTGATTATATCGCACCAATCATCAGCGCCACTGAGAATGTCGAGTCCCGGAAGAGTGTTGAAAACTATTATTCGCTTGGTATCATTAGGTCCAGAGTCTAAATGATTTGAGTCCTGAGTGAATTTTGTCTCTATTATGCTGCACAAAGTAATTTCTGGTCTAATTGCTCAGTTTCGTGGTCTTATCGATTTAATCCTCCCTAATGAGAGCTTATCAAATTAATCCGGTCATTAACTAGTGTGGCATTAGCCCGGACAGTTTTGGGACAATTTTGTCTGTGAACCAAACGTCTTGGACATTTTTTGCATTGTGGACTGTTTTTGCCGGAACATAAATGTCTGGGACACAAATGTCCTGACACGGTAAAAAGAAAGGCCTCTAAAAATCTGGATACTTGTGAAAAGGTTTCCGAAATTGCGACGCCTGTATGTCTCAATTTGCGTCGGAACACCACACCTGAACCTGTCTTTTTCCAGATGAAGTCACCTTCGGTCTTGTCTTATTTCTATGTAACATTCGCCCAAATACTACACAGCAACGGAGCGTAGAAAAAGTACCTATTAACGACTGGCAGGCGTCAGTTACCTTAATCCTACTCGTTTTTCACCGTCTCGACCTTGCCAGTTGATTTTCTGGTCTGTTTAGGGCAAAGTAAAAAGTTACCATTTTTAGGCCATCAGTCAAACGACTTTTGATCAGCTTTCGTTTACATGCGAACACAACCACATAGCTGAGTCTCGGATCCTCAGACTACATGATTGTCATTAAAAACACGGCTCAAACAACCTATTTTAACATATTTTTGTGTGACAGTTCTATATTAAATCCATTGGAGATGGATTGACCCTTTCCTCTTTTTAGCTACTCATGTTCTGAAATATCAAACAATAACGGTGTTAATTAAGATCTATGACATTACAGCAGCTATACAGTCAGTCTATACAGTCCCTTCACATAGAACAGTCTCTGGGGGACCAAGCCTCCGCTCCCGTAATATTCCTGAGATAACGCTCTTATCTCTTATAATTCGTGTCCCGGGAGGGTTCCGTGGTGTATTTCTTCCCCCACTGAAGCCTCCTTCTCCACCAATATCTGTTAACAAGTGTCTTATCGTGCGTTGTTGCCACGATAAGAGGCTTCGTGTTTTCAGTCTCTGGTACGACTGTTTTTCACAATATCCGTCGTTGTTCTCATTTTCGTCACTTTTTGGCTCAAAATGGCCGTCTTTTTCTATTTCTCAGAAATGTTCACTCTTCAATCGAAATTTTAAAAATAAAAATTCTAGAACATTCTGACCCTCCTTCGCAACACTTTTTCGTTCATAAGGCCTTTAGTCGTTCTTTTTTACGTCGCCGGAAGGTTGTGCTGTGTCATCTGGCAGAATGGCACATACTCCCCGGACAAGTCTCCATCAATGTCCCCATTGATCGCATAACACCGGGTTATCGTCAAGTAGTTATCCAGTTTTCTGTAATCAATCTTACAAATCGCATAAGAAAATGAAATTTATCTACCCCACCTCAACTCACTACGTGTTCACAAATGGCATCGTACTACATCTCACTGCCTTTCAACATTTTCAAAAAATTTGCACCATGAGGAGTGTCCTAGATAAAATTTCTTTTCTGACTACTTACGTCGTCTTGCCATAAAACTTCTTTTTGCTCTTTGTGATTAAAAAGTGGGACGTGGCACGGCCACGCACCCGTTAAAATTAACTTAACTTCACTCACCAAGTATAATCAGTTATTTATGCGGTCCTTTCAATATTAAAACTAAGAAACTCTGTGGCTAGGAAAGTTATTGAGTTACCCACCCTTCTCGAGCGAGTTTACTCAAACTTACCATGTGACCACACAGTGAATTTGTGTCTTACACAGGTTAAAAACTTCAGTCGTGAATAAATAGGTAAATATACTCACCTAGGTTCCTCATACACATACATAAATAGCCACAACTAAAATCAACAATTTCAACAATTTTAACAATTGCAACATTATAGTTTGGTCTGACCAAACTAGATCAAAACAAAAAGGTTCACAAGTTCAATAATCAAAACTTGGTTGATTGGTTTAAGTTTTAGCACACAAATACAATCAAGTTTTCTCTCCTTCTCTTCTCTTCTTTGGTCATCTTCACTCCATCACTTCTCCATCCTGATCTTCGCTGTCTTCCAACACTTTCTCCAGCATGTCCATGGAGTTGCGGGCCGTGCCCCAACTCTCCTGTTCCAACAGCCTCGGTTTGCAGCAAGGTAGCAAGTCCACATTCACCTTCTGCTCCCGGTTCCTGCAAAAGCTGTTGTGAAGACATAGGCTCACGTTTCGTTCTAGGTCAGCTCTTAAGACCTCTTTCTTCTCATCTTCAGTAACACAAGGCGCTCCAGCTACCCGCTTCACCGCTGTGGTGACCGCGTTTCTGTGCGTCAAGAAAGCTCTCTTATAGGCTCCTGGTCCTATATCTAGCTGGAAAGATTGATAGGCTTCCGTGTTCCTCGACATGTGACGCTTCGCGCGTTCATACATCCATGATGTCATCACTGCACGGAACCAAGGCATTAATCTTTGCCTTGACCATATCCTTTCAATGGCTTTAGGTATCCTCAGAACCTTGCAGGTGGTTCTGAAAAGATCCAACTCATGACTCTTCTTCACGTTGCTCAGCTGCTCAGGAGTCGGCACGGCCGTCTCCTGCTGACTTGTGTCCGCGTTAGCCTCCAGCCATCTCACTGCTAGCATGGCGCTAACCACCACGATTGACACTTGTTGATTCTGATCGGGCAATCCCGTGGAGTACAACTCCTCCACGTCCCATACTAGGATCAGATTCCCGCGTTTGGGGTACCACAACGTCTGCGCCAAGCAGTGGCAAGGATACTCCCCATGGGTTCTCACTATGTTCCTTCGGGTCCGATACCCTGAGGCTCCCAGCAACGGTTCCACTTCCATCAGAATTCTATGTAAATCGTCTTTTTCTTCTATTGTGGGGAATTCAGTGGGTAAGGCTCCACTCGCTTTCTGTTTCTCGAACTCACTCACATTGCCTTCGTTCAGTCTCATGAACTCTTCACCCACAACGTCTTGCAACTCGCTTTCGGATCTCTTCGGGACTGCCCGAAAGATCTTTGCCAACAAGTCATATGACCTTTCCGACATTCTGGCCAACCTCACGCACTTTGGCACCGAGAAAAGTTGGTCAACCAACACTTGTTGCGTCCTCGCATCCATTACCGCCATGTGCGTAGGATACTTGCTATTACAGTATGGCGCGGAGCTTGAACCCACCATATATTTTGAACCAGTAGGCCTGTGATAGGCTTCACTATCCTTCAGATTCATTTCATTTTCTAGAGCTTCTCGCCAGCCCCCAATCTTCTGCTCTGTCTGTAACGCTCCAGGGAATATCTCCACGCTGAGGGACGTCACTAGCTCATGGGCACGCTCTAGGCGCTCAAGCGATTCTATCGAACTCGTCATGCTACAAAATCCCAAGGCTGTGATCAAGTTTACGTCTGTCACCCCATGGCAGTCTGCGACCAACTTCATGGCACTCTTATCTGACATGCTCAATCTTCCGTACAATCGTGCCAGTTGTCGATGCTGCTCGCTCAGCGTAATCAGGCAGTGTCCCAAGTTGCAAACATGCCCTTCCATCCTACTTTGTTGAGCCAAGCATGTGCCTTGCTTCAACCAATCGCTCGATGGACTTTCCTCAGGCAGCTCCGTGGATGGATTGCTCTTCCGCTTCGTCGACTTCATGGCCAGCAGATGGTGTATCATGGCCAGATCATGTATACTCGCGTCATCATCTAGGTCTAACGTGATATCCGCAGTCATGTCCCAGATTAAACCGGCATTAGGATGAGGGCACCAAGAAGGCTTCATGAGTTCCCACATCGTCACTAGACTGGTTTTCAAGGGACCGTCCCAAGAACCACAATCAAAACTCACTTGCCCCTTTAGCTCGGGAACCGAGGGTTCGACCACTCGTTCTTCCAAAATAATTCCCAGCTTGGGTTGTTCCACCATCAGCATTCCAGTTTCTTTAATACGTTCGACCCAGAAATTGAGTACTATGACTTGCTCATAGTCAAAGTACGCTTCCCTGGCTTCTTCATTCACGAAGGGATTATACGCCATCCCCGGTATGCCAGACACATATTGGAACGACTTCAGTTTCCCTAGTGTTGCAAACTCTTTTTGTCCTCTGACCGCTTCAATCAACTCTCGGCTCACTTTCAATTCTTTGTTGGAATATCTTCTCACCTCTTCCAACTTGCGATAGCTTTCCATATCACTCGACTCCTTGCTTGGCACAGTCATTGGCATGTCCTGATTTAGTTCCAGGAGTGCCCTAAGGAAGTTCCTTTCACAATCAACTCCCTTTTGCCGAATGATCTTTATGCATTCTCCCAAAACAGGAGTGGGGATACGATCCACCACGAACCTGACAAAGCAAAGGGCATCCTTACGCTTAGCCCATGCTATCGCAGAATCGTCTTTCGAAATCAACGCTCGCAGAGCTTCCATCAACTCCAGTTCCTGTTCCCGTGATTTCGAATCATTACTGGCTTCATACTCCGCTCTCTTGATGCCCATCAAGCACCAAGCCAACCGTACTTGCAGATCAGTTCTCACGCAAGGATGAGCCAGGTATGCCGCCACCGTAGCAGGTGCATGCATCGCCTCGTCGAAGTATCTCTGGAGGGCCGCCCTCCAGGAGATTTCTAGCAATTTTTCCAGTCCGACTTCGTTCGCTTCAGAGGACATTACCGTTCCGTATTCTTTTCGATTCAAGTTCGAATTCTCCGTGAGCTCTTTCAGATATTCCTGCATGACTCGCTTCTCGCTCCAAGCCATCAGGTGCCCTCTCGCGGAGTTCCTCGCTTTCAACATCTCCACATAACCCCCTGCCGGATCTCCCATGTGGACCGATTCCGGCACAGTTATTCGACTGTACTCGACCACGTCGAGTTGTCCTTCCAGTTTCAACTTGGCCATGTTGATTCGCGAGGGTCTATAATCTTCAAGTCCTCCAGATCCACATTGACTGAGGATTTCCATTTCTAACTTAGTGTCTGCCAGGGTTCGCGCCGTCTTCTTCGATCTCGTGGCGGTTATGGTCAGACCTGCCAAGAGCATAGGGGGTATCAGGTTTTCTTTTTCTCCCCCGGCTAGTGTCGCACCATCTCCTTGCCCGCTCTCGCCTGAACGACCCGCACTAATCAGAGAGGTCACCACTGCCTTGGCTTTTGACTTCACCACCCTCTGGTTTACGACTCGACTCCCTGACTTTCCTTTCAGTCTCTTCGGCCCTTTTCTGGCTCGTCTAACAAGTAATTTCTTTGTGCCCTGCTGATCATCGGCACTGTCTTCTGTAACTGACTCGGTCAGAACATCCGACTCCATGGAGTTCACTATTTTCTCCAGGACCTCACGCATGATGGGTTGATTCAATCCCACCTTCATTATGGACTGTGTCCCATATCGTCGTATCACGTCCCATGATTTTTCCATGAAGTTCACTCGGCTCCAGGTTGCTCCTGTCTTGCCTTCCAGTTCCATTTGATATCTTTCCCATTCCTCTTCTGGCAACGTACTGAGGAATGATATCTTCATTGACTCCTCGATTTTCCTCCTCCTCGGTGATTCATGAAGCAGTCTCTGCGGATCCCTGCTTCGGCACTCTCTAGCCTGGCTTATTGGGTCCATCGGAGATAGATCGGCCGACGCCTCCTTTGTAGGAGACATGAAGGACGATGGTGCCATCAGCAATAAACTCCCATCGACTTCCCCATCGTCGTCTTCACTGAACCGGTATTCTAGCAAGTCCCTCTCCAACGCTCCTAGATCGGTCTCTCCCGGTTTTTCCGTCTTACTTCCGGTCTCGTCATCGTCATGATCCATCAAATCATCATCACCTGCATCAGGTTTCGGCCTGGGTCCTGAAGGTCCTTGTCGTGAGTCAGTGCCCGAGTCCGGCCGAGCCGGTACGGTCATGTCTCCTGCGTGATAAAACAATTCATCATCCACCAGGAATTCTACTAACTCCTCGCCATGTGGAGCCAGGTCTTCTATCGTTATATATGAGCCTCCTCTGCTCTCCCTTGCCACCTCCAGCATCACTACTTTCGCTTCTCCTGACCACTTCAGTCTCGATAAGTCATCCGTGGGAGAATACACTTCGTTCCACGTTTCAGCCGAGACCTCTGGTCTCCTGGAGGGTAGTGCCTTGATCTTTTTCCTGCTCCAAGCATCAGGGAATGAGAAGTCAAACATTTGCGCGGCGGCAGCGTTCCAGCTGATGAAGCGCGGCTCCATCCCTTCACTCCACTTCAGCATTCTCTTCTCTGCGTCACGAGCTGCTCCGATGCGAGGGGCAATGATGGGAGATGTGACTCCCAACAACATCCTCCTTATCGGTGGATATCGAGGGAATTGGTCCGGCAGCGGCCTGGACCCAGGAAGCCATGTTTGCTGATTCTCTTTCGCGTGTGTGTAGGCTCCTGGCAATTGAGGCACTCTCACAGCCTCTCCGTTATCTTTCACCACTGGTCTCAAATTCCAAAGTTTTGGGTTAAACTGGATGTGGGACAGATCCTCACGGCCCATTCGGCACTTGAAGTGGTTCTTGAAGTCCATCAACACCCAGCCTGGCTCTGCTATTCTTCCGAACAGCCTAGCGTCGCTAGCCAGCCTTCTCAGTTCACTCTGCTCTACCCAATTCAGCACGGAACAATGCACGACTGAGACCAGGTTGACATACAACACCGAATTCCTATATGCCTTCACTTGTACGTCCGGGAACGCGAAAGTTATCACCGGTCCATACACCACTGTGACGAATTCCCGCAGTCCGTGGACCAGAGCCAACGGATCGATCCGCATCATGACAGCCAAGTCTGTTAGTAAAGGCATGCCACAATACTGCTTACATTCGCCTGCGTTCGTCACCACCTTGTCTTCTCCCGTGACGCTTCTGTTCTGTTGCAAGAGGTATTGAAGCAGGAGAGTCCTCCAATCCTTCATCTTCCTGAGCGAGGCGGTTTCCAACTGCGCATTGAACTCGCGACTTGTTCCCAGGAGTTGTTCAGGGTAACGCAACAGCACAAGCAAGTCACCCAGTCGACCGTAGGTCATGGCAATCAGAGTCAGGAGTCCATCCAATCTCAAATCTGCCAACGCTTGGGTAAAGAGGTTTGCCGGTCCTTTCACAAAGTTTTCATGACCAAATGTCACGTATAAGGCTAGCACCAGGCCAATCGACAACTTCTTGATGTCCTTGACGAAACTCGCGATCAGGTTCCTAGATGCCTTCGGATAGCACGTCGATAGGAAAGATGGCGTCCATCCCACTCCCATTCCACCCAAGATAGCATCTGATCGTTCATACTGTGCCTTAGTGGCCAGCACGTCAGCTTGGAACTTGTCCAGCGACATCGTGTTAACGTCCTGCATCAGTTTCAACATCTTGCCTCCAGCTAACTCCCGGGCATCAAATAGATTCTTTAGATACACGTGTATCTCTTCAATTATTGCCGGCGCATGCTCGAACGCGTCCTCACCCAAGGTGCACAGCCTCGGTGACAAATACAACCATACGTTGTTGTGCGGCTTCGTACGCAAAGCCATTGCCATGAGGTCCTCCTCTGCTGACGTCATGTTCTTTCTGATCATCCTTCCCTGCTCATTCTCTGCCTGATCCATCTGTCTGAACCAGAGATCATCAGCCACCTGTTGTACTAACAGATGATCGTCGTCCACCCCTGGTCTTAGTTTCAGCAATCTGGCAAAGTTGGACAGCTCCAACCCCAGAACTTCATCTAGCACCAACCGAGTTGTGCTACAACCTCTGAGCCCCTGTATGGCATTCGAAATGTCAGCCCAAACGGCGGGAAGCTCAGATCGGGACGGGTAGTAATTTTCCGGGTCCACTACTCTGTTTGGGGCAGGAATTATCACATTGAACCTCCCCTCTGCTATTGTTGTGACCATTGTATATACAAATCGGAGGGGTTCTGGTAATGCAGCGTACCCTGGTGACAATACAAAGATCACCTTCACCACATTCATGGTGAAGCGTTGTCTTGCTGCTGCCTCTACCTCAGCCATCGCCGAGAGCAGTGTCATTATCGCCTCCCCTATAACCTCGTTACTTTGGTGATCGACCCATCCGTCAGACGTGACAATAAGCCCCTGCTTTGCAGATGATCATTTGAGCCTGCAACCACTATTACCTGCGGCTCCATACTGACCACCCTTCGCACACTTATCATCATGCCTATTGCTTGTCCCCAGTCCAACTTAGGTGCCGTCAAGAAAATCACATCGGGCCAAAAGAGAGAACGGGGCGTGTAGAGATAATCGGAGCCGGCCACAATCAGATACTTGGCCGCCTTCATGTCCAAGGGATCATAAGCTGCAAAAAGGCCATCGCCTATTGGGGCCTTCAGTTTCCCATATCTCTCATCGTCTCCAACCACTGTTGTCGTTCGGGGGTAGTCCCTCGAATACTCGCCAGGCGTCTGACCGGGTGGTTTAGCTAACTGCCTGTACATCTTGTGATGCTTGTTATTGGGCTTGTTCTCTGTCTGGAACTTGCCCTTGCGAGCAGGTGGTGTCCTTTCCCGGGTCCTATCTCGAACATCGGTGAGCGACCGGGTGTTCAAAGGTCCAAAGGTATTGTCATGAGACAATCCATTCAAATCCACATGTCGGAGTGAGGTCGAGGAGCTGAATTTCTCCTGCTCTGCTAACAGCCAATCCACGCCCGGTATCCGATAAAGTCGCGATACTGTGGGACTTTCTCCGCCAGTCATTCTCATTGCGTCCTCCCGACACGTCAAGGTATTCATGTTCAATTTCGCCGACATCTCCGTCTTATACTGACCCCAATGACTAGGATCTGATCTATTCCAAAGCAGCCCGCTGCCTGATTCGATTCCCTCCGCTGGCACGGTACTTGTAGACGGTCCTGCTATCGAAGCAGGATTTGTCGTGGCAGGCGGATCGTTCCTCCTAGACGCGGTCTGGGAGTTATTCCTGTTGTTCTGTTCCACTGATCTCCCGAGTCGGCTTCCAATCGATTGCGGCCTGGGAGGAGGAGCAGTCCCTAGCCTGTCTCTCACGTTTGAGCTCGGAGCAACGGTTGCGGCTGCAACCGTCTCTAATGCCAAGGGCCCCAGACGGTTGACGAGGGATTCGGGCACGGTTGTCCTTATTCTACTTCCTCCGGTCGAACTGGTCCGAGCCAGAGAACCGGTCGCCCTCGACTCTTGCTCCGCTTCCCTCAATTGCGTCTGAAACACATCATTAATCCAATGCCTCCCTCGTTGAGTATTGAAGTGTACTCCATCTCTAGTGAGCGCGATGTGATCAACCATGTGCAGCATGTTTTCGAGATCCAGGAGTCGCAACTCGCCAGGGTTGTTTCTCACCAGACTGCGGGTCATTTCATTCCACCGCGTCACGTTGCCATTCATGAAATCTGCAACTATGGTGCCCACCAAAGGATTTGGTGGTATCGTGCACAAGATAACAAGCTTGGGTCTGTACTTTTCTTTCAATTCGTTCAAGAGACACACCAATAGAGGCTCCCACTTGCTCTCCGGAGTCACGGGGGCTCTCGAGACGTCATTGGTCCCCAGCATTATTATTAATGTATCCAGGTGATCCTCGCTCTGGAACTCCATCATTTTGATGACCTGAGCCACTGAGGCTCCTCCAAAGGACAGAATGGTAGTCTGACCATTGACGAAGATCTCATTCAGATCTCTCACCAAACTGTCTCCAATGATCAAATGGCGACTCCCTGGGGGAATTACCTGGTCGTTCGTGGCGGGGTTCCAGCTCATGTCATTCAGGCAGGCTCGAGGATGCTCGGCTGGCACTTGTGTGAACTGATGACGTGCCATCAGATTCTTCCTAATGTCTACTACGCGAGACTTCTGAAAGACTCCACAGGCGCTGACCTCGAGGACGCTATCGTGCGGTTTGCTCGCTCCGAGCTATTTGATGAATGATCACGACGTTGGGAAGGAACGATCCTAACCAGTGTCCGCTCAGTGCCTCTGTTGATCTCATCAATTGTGGCTCTGGCCACTTGGTTAAATGATTCCTGGAATTGAGGAGCTAGATAGGTGTCGGAAGGGTCTGGTATCGTGAACCTTTGACTCGAAGCAGACGGTCGTGTCTGCTGAGGAGCCTCGGGCCCCCTTGATGCACGTAAGTCCAGAGCCTCAGGTCCTCTCGATGCGCACAGCTCCTGCGCTGTTGTCCTGGGGCGCGTATCGCTGGATCCTTCCAAGGATTTCATGCTCGCCAGAACTTCTGGTGACACTTGGCTCACCTTTGCCATATACAGCTCCTTCAGGTGCTTTATCTCATCCTCCTTGTAGGCCACCTGCAGA